GCTCAGCTCAGCGAGGCGATGAGCGCAGGCAGGACGCCTGGACAGTTAGCTGCTGATATAATATTGTTGCATTGCCTCCTCATATGCTGAAGCTGTCAATTTGCATGTCACCTGTCCATCGCCTGCAGTCAGTGGTGTTGAGCCATCTCGGCCCCTCTGACAGGCCCCACAGTTCCAATACTCTCTGCTGCTGCAGAACAAGGGCACAACTCCGCCGGAGCACATGGTATCCCACCCGATGACGTTGAACCGCGTGGATCCCGTCTGAGATGTAACCCTCTCCATGCGCACATCATCAGCACGCCGACCGGTCCTCGTTTCCAGGAGCAACAGCGCGGGCGCGTAAGCACCATGCCGAACTGTATTTTCGAGACACCAACTCCAAAACCTGGGAGGTATAGCTTGAGACCACAGCTCGTCGATGATTCCCGGTAACCGCGGCGAATAAAACCGCCTATAATACAGACATCGCGATGCAGTTTCGATAACATTCGATAACATGTGCGCACGTCCGCGATACCAACCACAACGCTACCGTCTGCACTTGGTCTCGGGATCAGCTAGCCCGCTTTTCCAACACTTCCCCAAAGCGATTCTGGAACCGAGCGGAGGCCAACGCTCTACGACATCCAGCTTTTGGTGTTTTGTTCGACCGTCGAGAGCGAGCGCATGTTGATCGCGTATCCGGCGCGGTAGTCGACTGGTAAGAGTGGCAGCTTCCAGGTGTGTGGGCACAACACGCTAGTTGGCAGAACGACCGCAGATCTTGCTTGCGTGTTTGAGGTGCAAGTGCAACTTGGAACTTGCGTGGCCCTTTACGCGTGCGCCATTTCTGCAGGATCGAGCTTTGATCATGAGAACTAGTGGGGACTGTGGTGAGTTACAGCGTTGTGCTAGCAGAGCGCAGCGCCTCTTGGCTTGCGAGAAGGCGCATAGGACTATTGTATGCACCGATAGCGGATAAGCATGACCAAGAAATCTTGTAGGTTTCTGTCCAGGCGACACGAGTGCAACGCGGTTGATGTGAATGTAATGTGTAGTGGCAAAATGAAACGAGGCCCAAGCAGGTCGACTTAGCACCCGCATCGATGTGCGCTGTCTTGAAGGACGGTCGAAGAAGCAACTTGCTGTGTCTCGTGGGCATATTGAAGGCGCGAGCCGCAAAAGACAAACATGTCATCGTCGATTTTATTAGTGTACCAATGTTGGGAATCTCTTTGAAACCGTTAGCTGTCTGTGTCGTCTCATTGACCTCACTCCATTTCACTTGCGTATCGAAAGCGAACTTGGACATGTAGTGTCTGGTCTGTCAGTAACCTGTGTCCGGTTATCGCAAAACGCAGATTGTCCCACTTGTAGAAGGACTTCATAGATGGCTAGCAGCCCGTGGAAGTTATCAGACGTGTACTTCCAGAATGACGTATTTGTAAAAGAAGAAATTCTGTTGCGCAGAGCACAGTCGACTGCATTGCTCGGTTCTGCCTGCAGGTAGGTGAGTGCCTGGAGATGCTGAGGCTGCGCCGCCGACAAGCCAATCAAGTGGCACTGAACTCCGAACGGGCCTTCAAATCTCCGACGACCCTTCCACTTTCGACTCATCGCAGCAACCCCACGTTCGTGACTGGAGTATTGTAGCAATTAACTTTCTATCACAACCGCAAAAATGCCTGGAACACGGGGCCCTGTGCCCGTACCGCTTGAGACTAAAGGCCAAAATCTCACACAAGAAATTCTCGATCTCTTAGACACCAAGGAGCCCCTCCAGAGCAATGAAGACTTCCCCGCGATATCGCAAGCCGAAATCAAGGCTGCGCTGGACAGGCTAGCGAGCCGCTCCATGGTCCAATACAAATCACTGGACTCGGAAAAGGTCATTCTTACACCAGAGTCGGAAGGCATAGTAGCGGACGGCAGTCACGAATTCAGGGTCTGGCAGTATGTCAAGGAGAAGGAAAGAGTCCCAATCGCAGACCTACCTGTATGCATGCCATCATGGACCACATTGAGAATGAGCGACTGATACAACGCATAGAACGTCTTCGGAAAGGAAGTTGCGAGTGTAGGACAAGGCAATGGATTCAAGAACAAGTGGATAAAGAAGGACGGGAGCGACATTATCCTTCTCCAGACCGAAGAGCCGAAAGATCTCAACCGCGAACTCCTTCAAGGCATCAAAGACACCCAATCCCTCGACGACGCCAAACTCCTCGCTCAGCTGAAGAAGAAGAAACTCGTCACCGTTACGAAAGTCATCACATACACCATCACAAAGGGGCCCAAGTACGCGAAGGAAATACCAGTAGAACACACAGACTTGACTGTGGAGCTGCTCACGAACGATGCATGGAAGACCGCAAACTTCAAGCCCTACAACTTCGCTGCGCTCGGCGCAAACCAAGATTCCGGCGCATTACATCCTCTGAACAAGGTCAGGCAAGAGTTCAGAAATATCTTCTTCTCACAAGGCTTCGTAGAGATGCCCACAGGACAGTACGTATTGACACAGATACCATACTCGTATGCGACTAACACTCTCTAGTTACGTCGACACTGGTTTCTGGAACTTCGACGCGCTCTTCGTACCACAGCAACATCCCGCCCGCGACATGCAGGACACCTTCTTCGTTTCATATCCACCAAAAGCCGACAAGCCGCGGTTAGACCCTGCGAACGAAGCGACAATGGACCGCATGGAGGCTGGATCAAAACGTCTCTTCTCCACACCCGAGAGCGAGAAGAAGGAAAAGAAGCCCCGAGACTTTGAGAAGTACTGGCAAGACGTCAAGAAGGTCCACCAAGAAGGCGCTTTCGGCTCAATAGGATGTTCGTGGCTACCCAATCCCTTGTTCAATATTGTCCTATGCTGACAATTTACACAGACCGATACCCATGGGAAGAGGATGAATCCCTTCGCCTCGTCCTCCGCACGCACACAACCGCAGTCTCAACATGGGCTCTCCACCGCCTCGCTGAAGACCCACGGCCCGCCCGCTACTTCTCCATCGACCGCGTCTTCCGTAACGAAACCGTCGACGCGACCCATCTTGCCGAGTTCCACCAAATCGAAGGTGTCATCGCAGACTTCGGTCTCACACTCGGCGGTCTCATGCGCTTCCTAGAAGACTTCTTCGCCAACATGGGCCTGACAAATCTCCGCTTCAAACCCGCTTTCAACCCTTACACCGAGCCCAGTATGGAGATCTTCGGCTTCCACATCGGTCTCGACAAGTGGATCGAGATTGGCAACAGTGGCATGTTCAGGCCAGAGATGCTGGAGCCTATGGGTCTGCCCAAGGATATGCGCGTCTACGGATTCGGACTCAGTCTTGAGAGACCAACGATGATGAAGTATGGCGTTTCGAATATCAGAGAGCTGCTGGGTCATAAGGTGGATCTGAGCTGGATCCGGGAACAGCCAGCTGTGCGCTTTGATAAGGAGTAAGGTGGTGGACGAGAGAAAAGTAGACGATGCGCATGACTGTAACGATAGAACGTACTCTGTGCAAATGATATCCAAATTAAGACCAAAATGGCTTTTGAGAGTTGAGTTTTCTGTTACTACTTTGCGCAGTCTCGACTATTCTCTTTGCCTCCTTCTTCGGTCACTGATCAGATGACAACACCTCGACGCTGGGAGATTTGGTCTCTCAAGAAGCATCTGCGTCGTGCTGCGCTGACCTGTCACCATAGCTCTCGCCTGTGTGAGCCTCGCGCTTCTTCTGCGCATTGATACTGATCCTGTTGGTATCTTCTGTGTTTCGTTCTCCTCTCATTTCGGTCCAACTCACTCCCAATCCAATACATCACTCCTTCTCCAAACTACTCTTAACATCCTCCTCAACCATCTTGTTCCTCGCGCCCTTATATATCCAACTCTCCTCCAGCTTATCACCACCCCACTTGTTCTTCGCCCAGATCAACCCATCTTGACCTAGCCCAAACCCAGCCCCGACAAGTAGACCCAAGCGAATCGTCCTCGCAGCTGTCGAAACAGGAAATTGATGCCATGCACTCCAGAGGCCACCCGTGACCATGCCCGCCAGCCCACTCGATATGAAATCCCTACTCCCCGCTATCCCCTTATTGATCCTCCGCATATCCAATTCATCCACACCCTCCATCTCCTCCATTGTACGTCCCGCGCTCCATGTACCCCGGAACACGTCTAGACTCTCTTCTACGATGAAGAAGACTGATGACCACGCTGCGATGTATGCGCCTTTCCTTAAACCTTCAACAATGCCGTAGCGCCATTTGTAATAGTTCTTTGACTTGTGGTATAGGTACCAGCCGGGATTTGAAATGGGCAGGCGATGCGCGTTTTCTGCGCGGAAGCGCAGGGAGGCCATGTGGCCGGCATTTAGGGAGCCGAGCGTGAAGCCGGAGAGGAAGGAGAGCGACGTGGTGAGGAGGAGGCGCCGGTCGAAGGGCATGCCGAGGCGGGGTGCGTAGGGGAGGGGTTGAGTAGGCCGTTGGGGTGGTGTCGCGAGCATTTCTGGGGGTGGCATCGTGGATGATGTGGATGTAGTTGTCGCCATTGTTGAATTGTGGTGCGCTTGGGCGCAATGGCCAGTCGTAGTCTCCCTGAGAAGGTGATCGTTGGGTGAGGTTTGCGACGGGTGCGGAGGTGGTGCGGAGATGCCTCGAGTCCGATTTCGTCAGACTTCCGAGCGCGCTGAATTTGCAGATGATGCGCTTGGAACACGTTATTAAATGCGCTTGGACATAGTCGGGAAGCAGACGAATCTCGTGGTATTAGGGCTGTAATAGATATTTGGCGAGGTAAAGGTCGAGGAAGCTCGTGAGCTTGACTCGCCAAGATTTCTAGCAGGGGTTCAAGTCGCGCCTTCCTCCCCGCGATCCCCTCCATTAATTAGCAACAACGCGTCCCTTTCTCTCGAACACTAGACTGTCACCCGCAAATCCCTAGGCATTCCCATCGAACGCGTATAATACACGTCAAACGACTATACCCTATCCTACTCCACCGCCACATCACGATGGCGACACCTTCACCGCAGACCTGGACGCTTCGTCTCAAGGCTCACAAGACCACCGTCATCCTACACGTCGACCCTCTACACACCTTTGATACGATCAAGACATACCTCTACGACGCTCTACAAGAAACCGACTTCAAGAACCCCGAAACCGGCGAATCCATACCACTACCTCCATCCACGTCAGACATACAGCTCGGTCGGCCAGTAAACATCAACGACGCAAACGAGGGTTTCGAATTAGGAGAGTGGGAATACAACATCGGCGAAGAGGAAGAGGAGGGTGGTAAGGGCAAAGGCAAAGCGACAGCCAGTGGGAGCGCCAATGGTGGAGCGAAAGCAGGCACAGCGAACGTCAAGCAATGTCCCAAGGGGGCTGGGCTGAAAGATGGTGCTGTGTTAGCCTTCCGGTGGCCCGGCGACGGCAACTGGGATGGTGAAGATGAGCTCGACGTTGATGATGGACGGCCTGGAAAGGCTGGAGATATGTGGGGAGTCAAGCTGGCGAGCTTCGAAGATGCGTACGGTGTTGAGAATGAGATGGATGTGGGTGGTAGACCGGAATTTGAAGGCTGATCGGACATGCATGTGCAACAGAAATGCGCACCCTTGAGACCATTATGCGAAGTAAGGGAAACTGTCGCAATATGGACAATTCCAGCTTGCGCACACATACATGATAACGCTCGCTATATGCTGTAAGCCGGTCTGTGTTATATCGAATCAAAGCATCGCTGACGTCTGTCTAGTGATCTCATGGGATCGTAGGGCCTATCATGGCTACCTTCAGCCTCGTAGACACCGGTCAGGTTTTGGCCAGCATAGCCCCTCTCCCCCGCTTGGCGGTCCGTCCCTTGCAACGATGCGCCTGCTCTTTTTTGCAACACTTCCTTTCCTCTTTCTACCTGATCACAGCTCATTCCGTCTTCCTTTGCCAGTATGGGCACTGCAATACACCTCACACCAGCACCAGAGTGCGACGCCGTCTTCAGACATCAGCCTCTTGATCACTCTGAGCCCTCAATCCGACTTGTTCACATCCTTCCCGCCCTTTCGCACGATGGCCGAGTTCAATGTTCCATTATACATACCAACGTTCAGGCCGCATACGTCTGCCTCTCCTACCGTTGGGGCGATCCCGATCCATCGCGTGACATCCTGATGGACGGCAAGTCGTTCTCAGTCGGTCAAAATCTCTTCGGTTTCCTGAGTGCTGCACGCGAAAGAGTGGCATCCGGTACCGCTACTGCTGATATCGGGCCATACTGGATAGATGCCGTGTGCATCGACCAGTCCAATGTTCTTGAGCTCAATCACCAGGTTCTCCAAATGGGGATGATATATAGAAACGCTTTAGAGACCATATTGTGGCCTGGTTCAATGCCGCCGGAACTCCTCCCCTTTGTGTCACTTTTCTTGAGGGGCGGTAGTGATACCATTGGCAAGGTCAAAGCCGCGTGCTTGTGTCGCAAAGACTTTGCCGAATTCATCCTACACAACAAGTATTGGACTCGTGCATGGATCGTGCAAGAAATAATGCTTGCCCGGCGAGTGACTATATGGGTAGGCGCGGCGTCTATTGACCTCAAGAGCATGGAACAGATGTTAGCCAGAGTGAACATACGATGCGAATTATATCCCCACTTTGCTCGGCTCCTCCACGCGCACACTCGGCGGGAACAGTTCCAGGACAAATCTTTGATCCATCTATTGGACCACTATCGGGAGAAGCAGTGCTTGGATTCGCGCGATCGTGTTTACTCACTTCTTTCTCTGGCTAGCTGCAATGGCAGCAACCTGGAAGTCGATTACCACATCTCCAGAGTTGAATTGGCAGCAGAAGTATTGCAAAGATGTGAGGGTACACTATGTATCTGCACAGCTATACTAGTAGCACAAACCCTCGAGTTGGGGGCCGCAGATTTCCTTGGATCGCAGCCTTGTTTTCGCTCATCACCATGTCTGGGGTTCTGCGTAATCCTCACGGAGCCAATCAAGCCCCTCAAGCCCTTCAAGCTATTCCAAAATCTCGGAACGCCAGACAAACCCATATCCCCAGGCTTCACTTTCCTAGACACCTGCAATTCTGCGCATCTATACTACTCCAAACTCATGTTTAGTCTGAACGCTGTCTCAAGAGGGCAGGGACTATGTTGCGACAACACGGGCCTTGCAGAACAAACAGTGTTACAAGAACATGGTGTTGAGTTCAACTCAGTCGAGGGGTTGGAACACGTTTATGTTGTGCGAGTACCACTTCTCCTCCTTGCGATTCTGATGGACAAACCTCTGAAAATTTGTGAACAAGCAAAAAGGCAAGTGTGTAAGAGAAAGGGGCTACCCGTTGGTTTTCCGCGAATATTAGCTTCTCGTCCTTCCATGCCACAGCTACAGACAATCCATCCATCACTTCTGAGGAGCGGGAAGCCAGAACACCTCTTCGAAAAGGAGGACCATACAAAATGGAAGCGAGAAAAGGTACTCCCTAAACGAGAGAGCTGGCACCCTTCCAGACGACCGAGAGCACGCGCTTCAGACGGCATCCAGAAGAGACGGCATGGTCGTCAAGCAAAAAGCATAGCGACCACGAGGGGGTTTGAGACGATACATCTGAAGCATAAGGCACATACACACAACACTAAAGAGCGGATGAGGCTCTTGACAGGCTTCCAGGAAATGATGATAAAGAACGGGAAATGGAGGGTCTTGTAACGAGAGTCTCAACTAATCGTATGCCAAGCAATCTCTGCTGAGCCTTCCATTAATATGGTAGTCCTGCAATCACTAAACAAATATTGCCGCTGGTTCGAGCTCATGAAATTTCCGTTATGGAATGAGTGTGTCGAAGGTACATGTGCTAAATGCCACAACTGTACATGAAAGCAGAACTCCAGGATGGATTGCAACCATTAGAGGAATCGAACCGCCAGCGGCCCATCCGCTTTAGTCCTTCAACCTTCGTTCTCGTTGCCTCACATTGATATGTTGAATCCTTTATGTGAGTCCTGGTACCTTGATCTAGAGCCGTCATACTGTGACTGACCAGCTATTTAAGCCATTCGACAGTGCAAGATGCTGAGGTACATATAGGATATTGATTTTCCAAAGGAGTGTGTTACAATTGTATATTACAAGCCAAGAAAATTGACTAGTGCCATGCTCAAGAAGCATCCAGCAACCATTAAAAGAAAGGATCCGCCAGCGGATCCGAGTGCCATAATCCTTCAGCCTTCGTTCTCGTTGCCCCATACTGGTATGTTGGATACTTGGTGTAGGTCCTGCATCTCGCGTTAGTGGAATTCCGTGCAGCTGAAGATTTGAGGCGAAGAACTGGGATAATACATACGCAGAGATTGTAGGTTAAAGCGTGGGTTATGGAGTGCTAAGAGGAAGAGGTCGCCTGAGTTGAAGCACCACCCTGGGAAGAGCCGTCGCCCTGACCACCTCCTCGACGATTTTGAGAGTCCCTCCCGGCTTTTTCAGCTAATTCTCGCATCTCTCGTTCTTTCTTGAGCCTTGCTCTTTTCTTCTCGGTACTTTCTGCTGCGCCCTTCATCATATCTAAATCGACATCTCTCGGTATCTTGAGGTCTCCGCCACTGTCGGTCATGGTGGTTTCTTGAGGTTTGTTAGTCTTGATGGACGTAGTTTTGAAGTAGCTTTGTGGGGATAGCAATGTGATTTCGGTTCTTGATGGATTCTCCCTGAGAACAGTGAAGGCTTTATACAACTTTGATATCTTTACAGTCATCCTGTATGACTGATGGATCCTTTTCTGAGTCTTTCTTTTTCGACCATCAGTGCACTGCGGTATGGTAACAAGAGTGTCAGACACTAACACATGGCTCACACCCCAATACTCACAGCGACCGTGTGTCTACTTTCCAAGATTGGTAACAATCGTCATTTATTCTGCGCACCACAGGGACTATGCTCATCAAGTCACCGTCGAGGCATTCTCTGCTTCACAATCTAACGATTCAGCTTCTCATCGGCGCATAGGTAGGTTATAGTCCCGGTCTATACGCTTACCGATAGTCAAGTGCTGTTTTACTTCATTGTGCATTATATTACCTCGAATCCACCCGGGGTTTTGCTAAGAGGCAACCTGAGCGCTGGAATCTGTACATAACCGAGCGTTCGGGCGTTAGACTTCAGCTTTTGGTAATTGACACGGCATGTCTGAGCCGTTGGCGTGTCTGTGGCCACTTCGGCGTTACTCTCGGAGCGGGAAAGTGTTGGATATGACAGCGTGGTGACAGTGCGGCAGTCTACCCACTCATCATTGCCCGGGTACTCGCTACAATGATTGCAAGTTTGAGTACCAACAATAGCTAGCTATGACTTGTCTTACGTTGTTGGATAACTCTAAAATGCTCAAACATCGAGTAGCCCAGTGAGGATTGATCAGAGACTGCCTCGGTAAGACTTCACCGGGTTGGCTTCTCCTGTCATTCAGTCAGCGAGCTGGATCGGGAGCCCTGCATAACAGTTATGACCGTTTATCTCACTTAGCCTCCTCGATTTAAAGTATGTCGTTACCGTGTGATCAACTTATTTCTTGTTCTATTGTTTCTGACGAAGTGTTTTTCTTTTTACCTAATGCGAACAATACAGTGCAATTCTCAAGCCAAGTAATAGCTATTTTGAAGTGACATTAACAAGTTACCGACGCTAATGGAGAAGTCTGGTGACTCCATGTTGCGTCAAGATGTGACTGTAATGCCAGTAGTGTCTACCGTGCCGCAATGTTGCATGATCTAGGAGTACGCTATGTCTGGAGAAGATTAGCTTTTGGACGTGTCCGAGTCGGCCCGATCTAAGGTCTCGGACTTCTGTACAGACTCCTACCCTATTTAAAGCCCAAGCTACAACACCATTTACACAAGCATATGTCAAAGCCATATCTTTCTCGCCTTATTTGCAACTACCCCATCCGCAAATATGATGTTGTACGACGAACTAGCCCAGCAAGATGAAGAGCTGATACATGAGACGTGGAAGAACAGACTTGACGCAGCGCAGAAAGAGATTGTTGACTTCGTCATCAAGCGAGTGGGAAGTTGTGTCGCTGGAGAGTTCGGTGGCTACCTTGAAGGGTCCTACAACGTCTGCCTAGTCATCAAGCTCAACACAAAGCCTACGTATCTGATACGCTTTCCACAGCCAGGGACAACTGCTGCACGTTTCTTAGATGAGAAAGTTCGAAACGAAGTCCAAGTCATGGACTTACTACGCAGGACCACGATCCCGCTACCGAAAGTATACGACTGGGGTCTGACTAGCGATAGCCCGTCACAGCTTGGCCCGTATATTATAATGGAGTATGTTGAAGGCATACCATTGATCAACGAGTTACGACGACCCACAAAGACCGATGACGGTGTCGAGATGGAGCTCTGGAGAGACTTGGGCAACCCAAGAGTTATTCATGCCTACAGCCAAATATGTGACTTCATGTTGCAAATACATCAGCTGGATTTCAGTACTGCAGGTGCTATAAGAAGGAGCAGTCCAGATGAGTGGGTAGCTAGCGAGCGACCTGTCACCGATAACATGAACGTTTTAGCAAGGAA